AGTTGCCTTTAATTGCGCGAGAAGCACTAAGGTCACACTATGCAAATCACCTTGCCAAACTTTGGACGAACAACAACTTAACAGAGGGCGCACTTGGGCAGTATAGTTACAGAATTGTGCCTATTTTGGTGGCAGAGTCGTGTTACCATCAGTGATGTAGTGCCTTGATGCTGGGCCTTGGCCTTAAGGCTGGATTTTAGGGCCTTGGCCTCGAGGCTTGAGGGCAAAAGCCTTGGCCTTGGCCTTGAGGGTTCAGGGCCTTGCAATTTTGAGTCAAGGCTCTTCAAGGCCCATAGAGTTTTGCATTTTCCAGATAAATCTGTTCGAAATTTTGCTGTTACCATTTTAATCGTATTACCATGGAGGAGGGAAGCACCCTATAGATTTGTGTGTTGGGCACACTTCCACTTTTACAGGCGCGGTTCTAGAACCAATATTTTTTTTTGGGGGGGGGGGGGAGGGGGGGGGGCTAGCACGGTGGATCCAGAATTTTTTCAGGGAGGCGTGCTGAAGTGTTGACCGGTTATTTTTTCCAGACACTTAGGCCTCCGAAAATCAATATGTGGGGGGGGGGGGGGGGGGGGGAACCATGCCATATTTTCAATGGGGAGCGCCAATAAAATCCTACAATCATTCACACTATATTAACTAATGCACCCTTGTCACGGCTATTTCTTCTTTAGGGGGAGACCGTTCGCATGTACATCACAATCCTTCTTTTTCCTAATGCAATTTTTTTTTTACGGAATTTATTTTGGGGGGCTAGACAAAATTTTTGGGGGGGAGGGCTACAGCCCCCCCCCCCCCAGCCCCCCCCCGTAGAACCGCGCCTGCTATGGAATAGATCTGATTGGTTGTATATGTCTCCCTGATGCTAAGTGCTAAAGATTTGCATGTATCTGTTTTAGATAATGCTGATATTTCTGACCATGTTGGGCGAGCAAATAAAAATTTCCCAAATCAGTTTCTTGGATCCCCCTTTTGTTACACTTGGGAGAATTGTGTGTCAATATAGAAGTAAATCATTATTTTGTTTAGTTAAACCATATTGAAGACCTGAACTTATACATTAATAGATACACTGCAGTCATAAAACGGTGTAGGCCTATGCGAGCATGTTGATTGCAATTAAAGAAATGTTGTTCTTCGTAACGAGCAATTCGTGATGATAAGGGCGGATCCAGGGGGGCCAAAAGGGGCCATGCCCCCCCCCCCAAAAAAAAAACCCACGAAACCATTTTTTGTATGTGACGTCGTTATAAAGGCAGGCAATGAGTACACCACCATCTTTTCCTCAAAAAACATCGGTTAAAATAGTCAGAAATTGCCTCAAATCGCACCACAGAGCATCTCGAATCCAACATTTTTTCGGGGCCCTTAAGCGGGCCCCGAAGCCCAAGCCGTAATTTTTTGACCCACTTTTTTTGGGGGGGACCAAAATTTCTTTGCCCCCCAAAAAATTGTGTTCTGGATCCGCCCTTGCGTGATGATGTGTCACTCATGTGACTATAATTAGTTCCATATCAGTGGTCATTTCATAAAACAGGGCATTGGCCTTGGCCTTGGCCTTGAGGGTTAAGCCTTGGCCTTGGCCTCGAGGCTTGAGGGTCAAAGCCTTGGCCTTGGACTTGAGGGTCAAAGCCTTGGCCTTGGCCTTGAGGGTCAAAGCCTTGGCCTTGGACTTGAGGGTCAAAGCCTTGGCCTTGGCCTTGAGGGTAAAAGCCTTTGCTCCAACACTGGTTACCATTGCAGGACAAGGGTTGTTGGGGGATGTGATGCAGTTGCGTTTGCAAAGGGTCTTTAGCACGGTGACAAGTGTTGACCATTCGTGGGATGGATTGTTAATTATTGGCAATATTAGAGCGGCATAGTGACGGAATTGTGCGCATGACGAAAAGGTTCAGATATAGACACCTGAATAGTGACCTTTGAGTGGTCAATAAACTTTGTATACCCCAGTTGGCGCTATATCATATTTAATTTTTCAAGGCTCGTTTTCCTGACCAAAGTCCTAATAGTGCAAAAGAAGAGTATTTTAACAATTATTCTTCAGTATGTCATGATTTCAGACCCCAAAGGAGACGCAATCGCAAGATAAAAGAAACATATCGGACAAGTATCACACTCTAACAATGACCAGTGGGCTTAGTAAAAGGTTAAACATGTGGTTACCAAAGTCCATCTGAATACAACGAAGGGTAATAAGTGCACAGAGTGAATACTGCTTGACGTACATATTCCATCACAGTCTCACAGATTTCTATTCCAATAGCATCGTGTTGGGTCTGCCATTAAAAAAAAAGAAACTGGAGTTCAGAGCTCACCTCAAAACTGCTGTGGGTCTGAATTCATAACGTTACTGTAGAATAATAGGTGCAATACGTTATTTACTTTAATACTATTGAGGCTTGGGTCATGAATAAATACGATAAAAAGCGACAAAATAAGATACCGGTATACACAATTTATTGACCTCATCTCCAATGGTATCACAGACGTCAGATATGACTCGGATGTCCCCACATCTGAAAATTATTTTCTTGGCACAAAGAGTTAACGTTTAGGATTGGATCGTAAAAAGAGACATTTACAACAGTAAATCTTATAAAAATCGGTAAGTCATGACCTATTGGAAGGTTAATTTAAAAAAAAAATGTATAATCAAAGGCAATTTTCTCAGACTGAAATAAAATTAGTGTGGCCAAAATGTATTTTACCAGAATTGTGTCACGGATAATCTGAATGGATCATGCAAATTTCATTAGCCTTGACTTAATTCTGGTCATGGATTGGACATTTAAGAGACATCCGCATAGACTTGTGCACAATTTTTTTCAAACCCTAAATGTGCCCTAACCCAATATTCCCTTGTTCTTTTTCCACGAATTTCGTTTACTGATTAGTCCACGAGCAACAAATATAACCTAATAGTGCGACAATAAAATTGTGCCTCTAAGGGGGATTGTGACATTAGGGAGACATCAAAATGTTTCCCTAATGACCGATGTCTTTCATCGTGCGAAAAAATTACGATAACGTGTCTCCTTAGTGATACCTTTACACAAATAAATGTTAGCCACCCTAATATTTCTGATAAAATTGACGTTGTTGTGTTTATTTTTACCCACCCTATTGTAAGAACATTCCTTATAGCATAAACACCTACCCTTTTAACTTGCAATGTGAAAAAGTTGGGGTTTAAAAAGTAATTCTTACAAAAAAAACTAGCTTTACAAAGGTCACTGACCTCTCAAAGGTCATCAGAGGTCAAATATGAATTGTTGGTACCATTTTCCAATGAGGGCGCTCCTCAAAACCGGCCATTTATGCAAAATACGCATTATGTGCCCATTTCAGGGCGCATTGTGAGGGTTTTGGGGCTGGGTTTTCATATTCCTCGTTCATATACTAAATATTAATAACATTTTGGAAATTAGTTACTTAAAAAAAATGCCGAACACTTTTAGGGCCATTTTTTTCTTAGGGGGCACACTTTTGCTCGAGGGGGCACATTAATGTCCGCAAAAGGGGCACATGGGTAAATCGGGGGGGGGGGGGGGCACAAACTGCCCCCCGGTTCCTGCCTTGTCTCCGGTCAGTGGTGGAATCGAGATTGACGTGACGCCAAGTAAACTGCGTGCTCTGTAAGAGTAGTGCGAGAGCTTTTCACCAATGACAGCGTCTGACGTATAATCATAAACAACCTCATATGGGGATTTTTTTTAAAAATCGAGGTATCTGCACTTAAATAAACCCGATTAAACTGCGCTTAAACTTTTAATGTTTTTCAAAATACTCTAGCTGCGAATTAAAAAACAGTTTTTCGACCCTCGCTTCCTAAAACCTCTAAACTGGAATGAAAACTGCACAGGAAAACTGAAATTAAGTTTAGTGTTCTTTGTGTATGGAATCAGGTCATATTGTTAGTTATATGGGGATCCGGCATAACAGTGAACTATCTTTTCATTATTTTCATCCTTCAATTCCTACCTCGCCATGCATACTGTTATAGACATTGAAAGCGCTAAAACGAATGACCCCCCCCCCCCCCCAAGTCTACTATCGATGATTGTTCCAGCAGTTCCATCTTACTTGAAGTTTTCACACAAAATCACACACACATCCACCTCAACTGTGCCGGAAAATTACAATATAGGCTGCATTTAGGGTTTAAACAAATGAATGGTGGTGAAGAATGATCCCTTAAGTAAGAACAACTAATCAATCAAAGGCATTTTTGTACAAAATAATGAAAATAATAAGTAGTTTATCCCCAACCCGACCTTTTGAGTTTTCAGAGGTACAGCCCTCTAATATTGACAAAATTCAACCATCCTAAACTTGCCTGAATATTTTATTCTGCCACATAACGCACCGAAGAAAAATGCTTGTTGTTAATCTATCATTCTGCTTAAAGGGAAGATACAACACTTTCAAATATCAAAAAACAAAATGAGTAAATTATAGCGAAATACTTTACTGGGGTGTGAGGGAATGACTGTAAAGCATCCTGTAAAATCACGGCTCCTGGTGTGCTGCCATTTTCAAGTAAAGTGGTATTTTTGTATCAAGTTCAAAAGCTGGTCGAACGACCAGTGTTGGAGAAAGCTGGTTTTTTTTTCAAAAACGACTCCTCATATTTAATATTTAGTTATTCCGGATTTTCTTTGTTATTAATTACACACCTGTGAAGGGTTAAAACCAGCTAGACTGATTCTCTGACCTTATAATTGTCCAATGTCTATAAGTTGCTCCGTTTTATATTAGGTGGGGTCAGGGAACCAGACTACAAGCACATGATTGGTTTTCTTTGTTTTCCAGCATCTACGAACCAAAAACGTGAAAAAGTCAGTGTAACAATTTTTGCCATGACAATCCCGAAAATCCATTATTTCTGAAAATTACAGCAAAAGCAAATGTGGTATATTCACTTTAAAGTTTACTGGCCAATGGCAACTGTGTTTATTTCATATTTGTTTAATTACTTGTTTCTTAGGTGCCAAAGAGTCCATTCAGAAGAAACCTTTAGGCAAGTTGGAGGACAGCATAGTGTTGAAAGTAAGATCCAGATTCTACCTGAAAATCTTCACATCCGATACATGAAATCTTCAAGCGTATCCTCTTTCAATACAGCTTTACTTTTCATCCTGAGTTACAAACACACATTTTCGTAAAACGTATATCAGAAACTTTTTATGTGATCGTTTGAAGAGTACTTGATCTCAAATTACCAAACTATATCAGGACCACAGGGAGAAGACTAACTGTTTCCCCTATGCTAGCTTCGGATCACTTCTTTCGTGTAAATAACAAATTAACAATCTTCCCTTCCAAAATGGAAATATTTTTGTGTTGACCACGATCATCATGGAAATAATTTTAAAAAACTTGCTTTGTATGGAGAAAAAAAAATTGGTTTTGAATTTCAAACAAAATATTTAAACAGATGAATGTACAAAAACAATGTGCACTTTTTACGATCTGGAAATAATTTACATAAGCAACATTTACTGTACATACAAACCCTTTGTGGAGTGATTCGAGTGAAATACATAATTTTGAGAGCCATGTCCGAGTTAGCATGGAATCGCCCCGGGTTGCAAAAATTACCCCGGCTCTAAAAGTGTTTAACCAGAGGGTACACGAAATGTAATACATGCACTTAAGAGTCATTTCGTGTAAAAACTTCATATAAGTGTCCACACTCAAAAAATTTTAAAACTTTTATTTTGCCCGTTGCCATGGTTACGGGCCATTATGTGTTTTGGCCATCTTTGGGCAATTTTGAGGCTGAAAAAGTTAATTTTTTTGCGTTATTTTCAAAGGTCATCAAGCCAAACTGCGAAGTAATGTCAAAAAGTAACTTTATCAAGACAAAGTATTATCCTTAACCTTACAAGAAAAAAATAGAAACACTTCTGAAAAATCTCCTTTATTGTGCACTTGACGATGTTTAGACCAGTGGATGAATGGTAGGTGGTGTACTCCCCCCACACCTGGCTAGGCCCCGCCCACTCCCCCGTGCCACCGAATTTTGAACTTTTATGTTGCATAACGAAACAAATGTAAATAAATAATTTGCAAGTGAACACTTTACAAATAACATAGACTTCCTTTTCACAGACTCCCCTTCCCCCACCCCGTGGGCATTGCTTGGGGTTGAGGGTGGGGTGTGACCACCCACCAATAACTTGGCTTTGTCGGCAAAATCATTGTCACATGGGCAAATCTCATGTGTTTGCAACCCGCATTGAATAATAATGGCCATATCCATTGTCCTCTGATTGAAGTGCACAATTATTCCAATGATGTCCAGTCCTCCCCTCCCAGCTAGGCTCCGCCCCTTCCCTTGCCACCAAATTCTGATTTTGACTTCCGCATGTATTTGCCGAAATTGAATTTGTAAATAGATATCAATTTGCAAATGAAGCTTTAGTAATTTACACCAACTGGCGTACCCGTCTCACAGCCCACCCCCTGCCACCCCTCTTCCTACTCCAGTGCTCATTATGAGCAACGACCCCTCCCCCTCCCAAAGAATTCAACATGTATAAATTGTTAAGGTTACATTTTGCCTTGCGGAAAGTCCACATATTTATGTGTACTATGTAAGTTTGGCTATTTTTTTGGCAACGTGGGAGTGGTTTGGAATATCTGGAAACGCGGGGGGAGGGTGTAATATGGATACATGTAGCCTACATGGTACATGTACATAATGCCGTAATATTTTAACAAAACTGCATTTATTTTATTATGTTCAATACAGAGAAGTGATTTGGCGATTACGAGAGCAAATAACTCATATTTTTATATTAAACTACGTGTACTTTACGTGAAAACTCAAAATGGCCTCTATTTTGATTGATTGAATTGTCTTGGCCCTATACGTGTAAATATGGTCAGATCGAGCACATATAAAGTCGAATATAGTACTGTTATGGGTGCTGCTATGCCCTCCAAAATCGTAATTTCGTAATCAGCATGACATTTTGAGTCTCTTCCAAACTGTCATCAGTAGTCAACATGGCCACACTTCTGTGGTGCGTCCATGGTTGCATGACAAGCAATTTAAATGTATTGATGCTTATAATTGCAGGTTTTTTTGTAAACAAGCAGGGAATGTTTTGTTAATGTGTTAATTAAAAAAATATAAACTTCCCCACCGAACCAGTGATTACAGATTTTAACCCTTTCTGGCGGATATTTGGTTGTTGTTTTTTTCTGAAAGGGAGGGGTACACTGTGATCCCCATGTTGATTTGCATATACTTTGACCGATTTTCCTACAACTGATTTGGCAGGAAAATATTGGTTGACTTTTACTCTATAATATGACATTCTTGGTTCTATTGCTGTTACCACTAGAGGTGTTTTTTATATATTTTTCCAAACTCTTGTCTAGATAACATTTTGGGCATAATTTCTGTATTTTTTGTGTAAACATTCATCCCAGTCAGGCAATTGTATGCATCCATTGTCACTGCCAAAGGGACTAATAGTAACTGATTTATTCCCAAAATGTGTGGGTTTTCAACCCGAAGTGGCAAAACTAAAGTAAATATACATAACTGTGGTGATGTTATTTAATGCTCTGCAATTGAAGCATGTAATAACTATCAGAAACGTACATCAAAACAAAGAAAATGGTACAAATTGAAAGGTGAAAATTACATGATGGCCACGTTATTAATTATATAGCCATGAATGCCAGTCTTAAGATAATACTTTCGTGATATAGGTTTTGAAAATGGAAGTATTTTTGACTTTAGTTTATGAGCACCAATGTCTTTACAACGGTTGCCATGGTAAAAATGAACACACTACAGAGGTGTGTCTGGTGCCATGGTGATCACTGTTAAAAGTCACGAAATTTCACGTTGATCAGGCAAATACAAATTTGGAGGACACTTCCACTAAAAAAGACTTCAGACCCTAACTACATGTATAAAGCCAAGTCAAGTCAGACTGCAATTCATGCAATAAAATTGATGCTGCGTTCTCTCAGAGTTTTCACTGGAGTGATCCTTGTTTTAAAGTACATGTATTTCAATATAAAAAAATAAGAGTTAGTTGCTCTCTAAATCGCCAGATCTTTTCCGTTTTGAAAATAATAAAATAAACGTCATTTTGTTCACCACACCTTTACTGTAATTCCAAAGTAACTTGCAATATAAAAACATGTTGGCAGTGTACATGCGTGTGTCCAGATCACCCTTCCCATCCCCCCACTCCCGCGACATACACACCCCTTCTCCTCCTCGCTTTTCGGATATTCCCAGCTAACCCGTGTTGTAAAAAAGCCACCTTACATAATTCAGACTTTCCCCAAGGCCATATGCATGTATGTAATCTGAACGAAATTGTACTTGTTGATTTTTGGGGGGAGGGCGTGGTTCTCTTTTGAGCTTTGGGAATGGGGGTGGCAGGGGAAGGGGCTAGCTGTGAGACGGCTGTTGGTGTAGATTGTAAAAGGTTCGCTTGCAAATTGATATCTAGTATTTACAATTTAATTTAGGCAAATACATGCAGAAATCAAAATCTAAATTTGGTGGCAAGGGAAGGGGCGGGGCCTAGCAGGAGGGGAGGACTGGACATCATTTGAATAATGGTGCACTTCAATCAGTGAACAATGGATATGGTTTTTATTATTCATTGCGGCTTGCAAACACATGAGTTTTGCCCATGTGACAATGATTTTACCGACATTGCCAAGTGGTGGGTGGTCACACCCCACCCTCAACCCCAAGCAATGCCCACGGGGTGGGGGAAGGGGGGAGGGGGCTAAGAAAAGGAAGTCTATGTAATTTCTAAAGCGTTCACTTGCATATTATTTATTTACATTTGTTTCGACATGCAACACAGTTCAAAATTCGGTGGCACAGGGGGAGTGGGTGGAGCCTAGCCAGGTGTGGGGGGAGTACACGGCCTACTATTCATCCACTGGCCTAAAAATGATGCGCAGTCTGATTCTGTTTGTGAAAATGTGCTAGATTCATGAACAATACCAATTATACAAGTTATTACTCAAAACAAAGGAAAACACTGAAAATACACATTTTAAGGTTTTTGTGAAAATTACCATTTTTGGAGCGCAACTGCACAAAGGCTATACAATAACCCAAAATTTTCTCACCAGATATGAAAAGACAAATCTCTGAACTAACCACAGCCGAAGGGAAATTATTCTGAGTGCCCTGGCAAGTGCCATTTTGGGGGTATAAAAATGGGGTAAAAAATGCAATTTTGCTAGTTGCAAAAACATGCTGTATTATAGGGCCTAAAAATAATATAAAAGAGATTTTTCAGAAGTGTTTCTATGTTTTCTTGTAAGGGTAAGGATGATACTTTGTCGTGATATAGCGTGATATAGTTACTTTTGTGACATTACTTCGCAGTTTGGCTTGATGACCTTTGAAAATAACGCAAAAAAATGAAATTTGCAGCCTCAAAATTGCCAAAACACATAATGGCCCGTAACCATGGCAACGGGCAAAATATCGGTTTAAAAAGTCTATTTTGGTTACTTGCTCCCAAAGTCCTTTCATCGATTTTTTGAGTGTGGACACTTATATGAAGTATTTACACGAAATGACTCTTAATACGTTGGTATTGAAGCCATGCCGTATTTTTTTGTTCTTTTTAATAGAGGCACAGGTGCTAACCCTAAGAATGACAGACCAAGGCGTGCTAGAGCTAGCTGCGTTGGGTCGTCCCATGCAGCTCGGCATGCTATATGACTGCCGCACAGACCGTCTCATTCCGGGCATGACTCTCTGGGACCAACACGTTTTACAAAAAGATCGTGACGAACAGCCCCAGCCCAGTACAGAGTTTGACATCATGTTATCCGACAGAGTGGACGACAAGGCATCCTCCCTTAACATCGATGCGTCACTGAAGGCCAGCTTCCTGGGAGGTCTAGTAGATGTTCAAGGATCTGCCAACTTCCTCTACGACAATAAACCTTCGCATAAACAGGCTCGACTGACATTGCATTACAAAACAACCACAAAGTTTGAGCAGTTGACCATGAAGCATCTGGGTGTGCACAATGTTCAGCACCCAGACGTCTTTGACCAAGGTACAGCTACTCATGTAGTAACAGGGATCCTGTATGGGGCGCAGGCTTTTTTCGTATTTGATAGGGACTGTGAGAGTGAGGAAAACATCGAGGATGTTCAGGGCCAAATGTATGGCATGGTAAAACGGTTGGCTTCATTAGAAATTGATGGAGAGGGATCGCTTAAAACAAGTGAGCGAGAGGCGATTGATGAGATGCGTTGTAGATTTCATGGCGACTTTATCATAGAAAATAACGCGTCAAGTTACGAAGAAGCTGTGCGCATATATAAAAACTTGCCTTCAATGATTGGCAATGACGGAGAAAATGCCGTTCAGGTGCGTGTTTGGCTCTATCCCTTGGCTAAATTGGATAAAAAAGCAGCTAAGTTGGCTCATCAAATCAGCATTAACTTTATCAGCCAATGTCAGGGGATCTTGGAGGGACTTGGGGACCTTGAAGTTAAATGCAACGACTTGATCAGAACACAAGTCTGCATAGATTTCCCGCAGTTTCAAGAGAAATTCGCCGCGCTTAAAAAACGGATACTTGAGTATAAATTGTCTTTAGAGGAATATCTGGCACGAGCATTGCCAGCAATCAGAGGGGGTAGTATTGAGGAGCAAGCGTTAGCTGATTTCCTCGGCGATTCAGTACAGTCACCGTTCGGTTTGGAACAACTCAATAGCTGGATCGTTAGCAGAGAGAAAGAGATGAATGTCGTCGAGGCTTACATGAATAACCTCTTTGCCGGGATTCCAATCATCAAGACGCGGGCGGATTTAGAAAAGCTCGTCTTAGATCCTTTGATGCAGAATGTCGTCTGCTTTACGTTCCCCCTCCAACGCCAGGAGAGCTACCTGGAGGTCTTGTCTCAGTATCTCAAATCTCCTAATGTGTCAGCACCTGCTCAAGACAATCACTCATGTTGTTTTTTCGACAAATCGGCTTCAGTGAAGATGAGATTGGGCGCAAGAAATTTTGCAGAGTTTTACCACGCAACTACGGATGCTGGTAGCTACGAAACTGCTTATGCAGTCACAGGTGTCGGTGATGAGGGAAGTTCATGGGCTCCAATTATGTTGTACGAGGAGGGTAATCTAACGCCGAAGGTTTTCGAACCACCAAGCAAACCTGGCAAACCGTTAGTAAAGAGCAAGACACATGAAGAAATCTGTCTGGAATGGCTGCCACCTAAAATGGGCATTTCGGAGGTGCAACACTACAATGTACAGTACCGAAAATCGGAGCCAGGCTCGCAATGGCAGAAATCATGTACAAAAAAGGCTGATGAAGAACTTACCATCCAAAACTTACAGCCGTTGACATCCTACCAATTCCAGGTCGTTGCAGTTTGTCCAGTTGGTGTAAGTCAGGCAGGTGAGATCAGTGATCCATGCACAACACTGCCTGTTGGTCCTCCGGCAAAGGTAAGGAAGCATGCAGTATCTCACACCTGCGTTACCATCGCGTGGGAGCCCCCAGCCGTCCGGGCTAAAGACGTACAAATTGAGCGTTACTCGGTGAAATACAATCAAGTTAAAGGAGGTTCAATCGCTAAACCTCATCAAGAAGTTGCAAAGTCTACAAGTGGTGACTCGTGTCTAGTTACAATTGACGACCTCAAAACTAACGAATCTTACAGAATTTGGGTGTCTGCTGAGTGTGGTAGTGCTGGAAATGGTACAGAAAGTGAACCGCTTGAAATTGCTACCGATCAAGTTCACCGGCCTGTAAGATACACCAGGAAAATTGCTGAAAATGCTGAAATACTCACAAAGGGATGCGAGTCTACTGGGACACCGACTATTTTGAAGGTTCCATTGAATCGACAGTCCGTTTCCGCTGGCAGAAAGTACCGTAGCTATAGCTTTGGTAAGAGATTTGGTATGGCTCAGCAGCACAAAGTGATCATGGTCGTTGGTGCCACAGGCGCAGGTAAGAGTACACTGATTAATGGGATGATCAACTATATCCTTAAAGTACAGTGGGATGACGGGTTTCGATTCAAGATCATTGACCAACAAGGAGAGGGAGCACAGTCACAGGCGCATAGTCAAACTCAAAACATATCTTCCTACACTATTTATGGAAACAAACACCACAACATTCCTTACACGTTGACGATCATTGATACGCCAGGGTTTGGAGATACAAGAGGTATTGAGCGTGACATAGCCATCGTTGATCAGATACGCAATTTCTTCTCTCATTCCGAGGCTCACAAAGTGGATCATATAGACGCTATAGGCTTTGTTGCTCAGTCTTCGCTGGCACGCCTCACCCACACACAGCGGTATGTGTTTGACTCCATCCTTTCCGTTTTCGGTAAAGACATCTCCCCAAACATACTTCTCCTGGTCACTTTCTGTGATGGGCAAAAGCCTCCAGTTATCGATGCAATTAAAGAAGCAGATATTCCTTGCAGTGACAGCATGTTCAAGTTCAACAACTCGGCTCTTTTTGCTAGCAATGAGGACCAAAAACAGGGAGGGAGGGCTTGTAGAGATACGGACGACGAAGACAATTTCGACAAGATGTTTTGGCGAATGGGGATGAGGAGCATGTGCAACTTCTTCTGTGCTCTCAATAGCTTGGAATCTAGGAGCCTGTCACTTACAAAAGAAGTTCTGCAGGAGCGGAAGCGACTGGAGACCGCTGTAGAAGGTTTGCAACCCCAAATTCAGATGGGTGTTTGTAAACTGGAAGAATTACGCAATGAGCAGCAAATACTCGAGCAGCACGAAACAGAAATACAAGCAAACAAGTCATTCGAATATGAGGTTGAAGTTCCGAAAAGCAGAATGGTTAAAATATCAGATTATATCACAAACTGCTCCAAATGTCACTTCAGCTGCCACCATCCCTGTGGTATTGCAAATGACAGTGACAAGAGTGGGTGTTGGGCAATGGAGAGTAATGGTCAGTGCAGAATATGTCCGGGCAAGTGCATTTGGAACGTGCACTTTAATCAGGCCTACAAGTTTGAATACTACAGTGAGAATGAGAAGCGGACGTATGCCGAACTCGAAGAACGATACAAAGACGCTACAGGGAAGAAGCTTACTGTAGAGCAGGTCATCAAAAAACACTTTGAAGAATTCCTCAGTGTCCAGAAATGTGTATTTGTTCTAATAACTGATTCTCACCAGAGTCTGAAGCGTCTGGAAGAGATTGCTTTGAAGCCGAACCCGCTGAGCACAGTGGAGTATGTGGACTTGTTGATTGAGTCCGAAAGGACAGAGGCCAAGCCAGGTTGGAAATCTAGAGTAAAGGCACTCCAGGATGTCCGCAAACAAGCAGATATTTTGACCAAAGTCAAGAAGGCAAACTATGATCCCTTCGAAAACTACAAGAAGGAACTATCCGGCAAAAAAGGAAATACATACTGGTATCAGTTTTGGAAATAGACCCTACCTTTCCGATAACAAGCATATACGTTTTCGCAAACGTATTATTATCTCGGGTATTGTACACAAATTAATAAATGTGCCTAAATTGAATCTGATTTTTTACCTGATTTGCGTTTGTTTGCTGAGTGGCAATGTTTCACATCGTTACCCCTGATGCTTCAACGGGCCGACTGGTCTCGAAGCGGCAATAGTTCATGTCAAGAGCTGGGGTTAAATTACTGTAACGGGTACATGAGCTGAATCGTCGAGGGATCTTCTTGATAGCAGAATTGTGACCTCCCGCTAAATTGTGTCGCAGCCCTCTGTTAAGTGAAAGCTCTTCTCTCTTCAAATCAATGCCTCTTTGGCACCCTTCAACCACCTAATTCAAGGACTTGTTGGTACGGCTGAGATGAACTCCAGGCCTTCTGTTGGTACATACCGTCGGTCGCACCACGAACCGGCGTATTTCGATTTTTGCCAAATTGAGTTTTTGTCATTAACGTTATTATTTAATGAAAGTGCTCATTCTCAGAAAGCTTTATTCTGATCTGAGCTCTAATCAACTAAGAATGCTTAGACTGTGCGGCATATCTCTAAAAATAGAAAATGTTGCACCACAAAGTGTCGTATTCCGATACGCCACTTTACACGCTAATTCCCATAGTGCTATGACGTCACAAAGGAGCGTCGACATCATCATCATCATCTAAAGTGTAAATCCGGTTCGTTAGTGTGACGTCACCTCCAGCACTTTCTGCACGATTGGAACCGGAAGTTAACGCAGCTCGAGCGTTTGTAGCCAATGGGCGCTAGTAATCAATGGTGGTGGGTGCGCGTGTATGACGTTTTTACTAACGCCCCGGATTATTAAGCGTATCACGAATCAACAAATCTCTATTACGTGCGTTGTATGACATACGATGAACATGACAAAAATCTGTTTCACGAAGTGACGTATATCTTGGGAGCTGAATTTCTCAAAAACTAAGCAACTCAGATGCACACGGATTGCATACAATAAAGTTTAATCTATAATTTACTAGCAACAACGAAACCGCTTGAATTCTGACACAGGGAGTACATGTATGGAATGATCTCCTGTGTGATCTTGATGTGGTCAAAGAAGGGAACAATTTTGTTGTTCCTTATTTATAGCTAGGTATCATCCAAATACCTAAATTACTTGGTAGACTGCTTATCTGCGTACGATTCCAATGCATGCAAGGCATTCAAACCGTTCCATAAACAGATTTACATCAATGGGAGATACCGGTGATCCCGAAACACAGTTGTGACGTTTGTAGAATTCGTTATCATAATATGAAACATTGGGGCTAAGACACGGACATGAAGTTCCATTCCACTCAGGTGCGTATGAGCTGCATTTTAAATAATGTTGGCTGCTTGTTCTAATTGGTCTGGGAAAAGGTTGCTTCGCAATTTTCCCTATAGAGGACGTGAGATTCGATCTGGCAGCATTTCCAAATTGATCAATATCCATCTCAAAGCAAAATGTGTACATTCAAAATCAACGTCATGGACCCTCTCGCTCATTTGAACATTTTTTTTTATTGGGCTGTGGGTGTGGTGAACAATGTATTAACATTGTAGGTAATAAACATTGATATCAAAATAGTTGTGTATGTTTGTAGATTTAACAAACGTGAAGTATATTATTCATTAAAATCAAAATGAATGCAAAAGTTTTCACAAGAGTAAAAAAAAACCTGAAATAAACGCGGAAAACATCCGAAAAATATATGAAATATGTATGTTGTTTACTGTTAATTGTCAAAATAATGTATTCATTACCCGCGGTGGCTGGTAATTTCATATTAAGAAATATTGATAGTATAATCGATTGTCTTCAAAGAGTTCCTGAAATCATACATAAGTCACATGAAAATGAGCGATGGTTAGAGTTGGACAAAATGATTTCTCAACAGTGCGTGACAAGATGATACGTAATTAGTGCTTTACAAAGTGGAGACTGTATTATAAGTTTTCAAGTAATCATAACATAATACCATGCATTATAAGGTGTAACAAAAAACACATTATTGTATTTTGAAATCAGTCTTTCCCTTTTGGGTTGAACTTTTTTTGCATGTAAATATGCTATTGCTTATATTCACTGTTACGTGCAGGGTAGTGTCTGTTAGTCAAAAATGCAGAAAAGTTAGGGCTACTTTTAGTGCTAGTTCTGCTTGGTCGATGATTCACATGATTACATCTTATATTTTCAAAGCATGCATGTTAACTTTCCGACTACTTATATCAAACTATATTCTAAATGGAATAAGAACGCAACGCATAAAATCAAACTGATTTGATCAATCACAGACTTGAACATCTTCTTCTGAAAACGGTGAATTATCGTAAGGACTTTGTCTTTACTCTTGTGAATTGCCAAGTTCAATTGTCATTTTAATTATTGAATCATTTATTCACTCATGCCGGTATGACTTCGTTCTCATTGGTAGCTCATATGTTTTATTCAACCTGTCTTTTCGCTGTGTTATCAGTAATATGTATGCTTCTCATTGTTACCTTTCCCATTGTATTATGAAGACACAAGTGTGAAATGATTTGATTAAACGAACTGAAGCGCAAAATTGTCATTAATTTTGGTATAACAGTTTGGATTTTTTGTTTTGCACCACTTCGTTGAAGCAGTTTATTAAATGAAACTAACCAGCCTAACATTCAGATCAGTAAATATAATATATTTTGAGAAAACTGTGAAAATGCTTCTTCAATTTTCTCGACGCAGAGCAAAGTTTCCGTTGAGAGCCCTCCTACCAAAATGTTCAAAGTCTGACAGTCCCGAATCCTTCAATAAACATTTTTTCCTCCTCACACCCCTGGGGAGTTAGGGCTACTACGCTTTGACTTGAACCATCTGATGGTATGTTCCTAGTTTGTGACTCGCCGAAAAATAATTCCAATTTACAAATATGTAACCAACTGCAAGGTAAACTAAATTCGGTCAAATGGGGACAGTATGTGAAAATAGGCCGGTTTTTCACGAAATGGTTAGGTCCAAAACATCACGATGACACGTTTTTAATTCTTCTTTTGTTGGACATGTTAAAATGATTTCACGGGAGGCTTGATCCTATTATTTACTTTAAATTAAGTGGGGTTATTTCAGATTTTTGCAATTTCCTTTTATAATGTTTGCAAATTGTGTCGGTTACCTTTAAACCACAGAATCGATCACTGAAAAAATTGCCTGCGTTAATTTTACCCAAAAAAGGGTGAAAACTGGAACTACCCAAACTTGGGTTGTTCTATAACCAACTGTTTGGGTTAGAATTTCTGCTAAATTCAACCAAAACTTGTGGTTATTCAAGACCAAATTTTATTTGGTCTTGTACGACTATAAATTTTGGTTGAATTTAACATAAATTATAACCCAAACAATTGGTTATAGAACAACCCAAGTTTGGGTAGTTCCAGTTTTCACCCTTTCTTTGGTAAAATTAACCCAGGCAATTTTTCAGTGATATCTAGATTTAAATCTGCGCTACTCATCCCCCTTTCTCCCGGACACGAATAAAAATAGAATTGCGATAGGGCTTTACTGGGAATAGAGCGCACCTAGCGTCAAATGAGATCCCCCACCATTTCAAATTTGTAGCCTTGGTGCCTTGTTGCCCTCCCCAAAAGATGCTGAACCCCCCAGGATCCGACAATATCGAGAGAGGGCGCTCTCTCCGCGTTAAGCATATTCATAGCTGCCCATGGCTGTAGAGAAATAGCTATACATGTATAATATGGAAATATGGTGTTTAAATCACCGACGCTTTGAAAGATGATGGGAACAATTCAATATTATTTGTTTATACAAATAGTACAAATATCTGGTCATCCTCTCTGGTTCTCTGGTGCATGTGGACAGCCTTGGAACTCTCGGCAAAATAGACAACATGTGTTTTAATTGTCAGAAGCTGCGATTCGCAAAATGATTTACAAAGCACCCCTTTGAATATCTTAGTGTGAGTGAGGAACGATGCTGGCAGGCATGCGTGTAATGACGCGACGTAGGAATATATTGGACAGACCCACCATGTTTTCCTCCTTCGGCACACATTTTTATTGCAATCAAAACATTTCTAAACGTTTAAACGTCTTCCCCTGCATGTGTATTTGACGTACGGTTCAACTGAAAACATGATTAATACACCAAATCATTTTTATTTTGTGTGGCAAACATGTCTTAGTTTTGATAGCACAACGTTCTAAGTTGCTACAATGTTTGTTTTAAAATACCCCAACCTCCTAAATGGACTGAGACTCACGACTTAACAAATTATTTGTATAAATGTGCGCTTTCCTACGGGAGATTGTGACTCGTCACCACCCCTCTTCCATAAGAAAGCGCACGTGTAAACAAAGCGTGACATCTTTATGTCCGAGGGCTATTGTGGTTATGTATAATATTGATTGATATATTTTAACTCATATCCATTTTTCAATGAAAATATAACAATACGTGGCCTGCGAAACGGCATGTCACACTTGTCATTTACTGCTAGCGTAGACATCTTTTATACCATATTTATCTTCTTCTTTTTTTCAGATTAATGCAGAAACATTATCATCGAAATTAAAAAAGTTAACTTTCTATTTACGCCTATTTACTTAAGGCCAAAAAAAAAAACAGTCGGTCTCTGGTCAGACCAAAGTTCCGGAATTGATGCGGCGACGCGGGGGGGGGGGGGGGGGTGGCGGCTTTTTTTTCTTTCTAAGCATGGATTGTACAGACAAGGTGGGTACTATTTTTTTTCTTTTTGTGTCCTCATATACATTGGTGTCCTCCATAATTTGCCTTGGTGCCCTCCATCATTTGCCTTGGTGCGGTTTCCCCATTCCTTGGTAAAAAAAATTGAAAAGTTGCGACAATAGAGGGCACTGTTGTAGCTACCGCGGACCAGTTGAAGGAAAAAAAGGTTGACGCGCATGATTAAAATCGCGCGCGCTGACCAGAGACCGACTATTTATCATTTTTTGGCCTAAAAGAGTTTTATACACAAGACTCTCTCAAAAAGTCTCTTGTTATTGAGGGGCCTGTGCTTGTTTCACTTCTACATCGTATACTAGGTGATTATTGTACCGATGCTTACACTTTTTATGGGTGTACTTGTAATAAGTGGTGCACAAAAAAAATACGTGATGTTGTATGTTCGGTAGAACACTAATCACGACACAGCCTAATCGTATCGAAATTCAGATTTAAATTACGTAATTAGCGTTCCTTGCTTCTTAATTTTTTCTCTTGAAAAAAATATCACCAAAGTGTGACACAAATTCAATTAATTCCATCACCAGACAATTAAATATCAAACTTTCAAAATGTAGACCTTTTAAATATGATTTTAAACACAATATTTCTTAATTACGAAATCGAGTACATGTACATAGTTCTATGACGCGTTGGAGGTATTGCATGCATTAAGGCTTGTATACAAAATGTAGCACAAAGTGTTAAAATATTTTCTTGGAAAGGAACCAAAAAAGGTAAAAATTCGTAGCTTACAAATAACAATTGCAGGTTTACAGCCTCATAGCACACCATCTTCTGCATACTTCCACTTCCGAACCATACATTTTCACAGCACGATAAAATTGTTCCATTAACATCAGGAGAAAAAAAACCCCAGATATTACATAAAAACTGTTCCACTGCTTCCCACATTCATTCACAGGTTAACTAATTCGATGGATCTTGTGGAAAAAGTGGCTACAACAGTTTTAACAATATCAGTAAATCTTTATGACTTAAAAGCACACAGTGATTACATTTTTAAAAAAACTCAGACGGAAAAGTTCGCAGAATAGGACAGGCACTGCTTGAGCACAACTCATTTCAGTATTGCAAGTTAATAATTAAACAAAAATAGAATCTGAGAATCGGTCAGGCTGACATGAATATTTCAACAGACTTCATCCCCACCTCTAATATGCACGAACACCGAAAAAAAAAGAAGAAATAGTATACCCAACCTGAAAAGTTAAACGAAAAAGTTGCTCCAATAAGTGGACCCAAATTCGATGTAAACAGGCTATCACGCGTATCGCGCTTCAATGGACGGTCCGACTCTGTGACCATCAAATCGTCTCTGTTTAACAAACCCAACCTAAAATTATCGTAACTGGTTTATCAATGACGATACATGTATAAATAACTGAAACTTTGGCCACCATGTTAAACCTCAATCATAGCGCCAGACATCTTGAAAGACAATGTGTAAAGACCCGATTCATACTGCATGATAATACAAATGCTAAACGAATTATGAATTGAAGGTAGAGCATATTATTTGTCATTTGTGCATTACACTTTTCGTCAGTTGAAGGAACAGAAGTGCTCAAAATCTAAAGAAGGGTGCTGAACAACTAACCTGATTAAATTTAGCTCAGCAAACGATGGATATTCCGAGTAAACAACAGGATCTCGATTTCAAATCAAAGTTGTTTCCATTCAGCCGATTGCAGTTACGCGATGTCACGCAATGAACCGACGCATTATAGCAACCGCACGCGCGTGTTTGTCCTGTCAACGCTTGCGCGCACCCATTCATGGCTTTGCCGAATCAAAAACCAACTACTAACGGAAATTTCCAAAAATGCGTCTTCAAACGCATCTTTGGAAATGATCTTTTCTTGATTTTTTTTTTAAATGACAGCATGCCAGAAAGAATAATTTCACATGGGGTTTAGAGCCAGTACTAAAAACCAAGTATGCTTCTTAAAAATAAAGTTATTTGGAGGGCAGCAAATAATAAACTCTACCTTTAACGAAAGTTAAAGTTTTGCGTTCAACATCACTAGGGAGGAGGTATTTCGAATAAGCGCATACTTGTGACGTCCAAAATGTGCACAAGCATTGGCGCCGAGTATTAACTGGCCTTTTACATGTATCCGGTTCGTAAACGCTACATCTTTTTAACTGAAACCACGCCCACTACAGACGGAGTAGCATTGAAAATCATTGCAACCATTAGAACCGGAAGTAGTGCAAAGTGGCGCTAGTAATCAGCGGTGCGTGCGCGATGACGCAGTCACTTACGAACCGGATACACCAACCGACTCTCAGAGAAGTCACGTGCTTTCTGCTAGCATCTCATTTGTCGTCTTGTTTACCAACCACATGTCTGAACTCTTGAACTTCGTAACTTTGGCCTCATGTCCACGGATACTGGCGGCGTGCATTACAACAGTTGAATAGTTCGCCTTTTTCGCAAGCAGGTCATAAAATTTGGGTCCATACGGGAAGATGTTCGTGTCCAGGGGTTTGATCTTAACATACACGGGTTTGTCGCTTTTGAGAAGCCCATTCATAACGTTCTGATCCGGTGTATACCTGCCTTTCTTTTTGTTACTGTCAAGTGCATCCACCCAGGCCTTGACAAATTGAAGACTCGCGTTGGTCGGCTTAAAGTACACGAAGCCAGCACAGAAATTGGATTTCCCAGATCTAACTCCAAACGGGTTGACAGAGTCTATCAAGGAGATGTCAAAGTCTCCCTCGAAAAAGGGAAAGGGGTCCCGGAACCAAAAAGTGTCGGCATCTGAAAACAGCACCTCGTAACCCTCCTGTAGCAAAGCCAGGATATAGGCCTGGCGTTTGTTCATCAGACCATAGTACTGGCTGCCATGAGATCGTGGGTGTTCTATGACGTCCATCTCACCTGAATTAGTCAAGAGGACACGGTATGCCAGATCACCATCCAGTCTCATCCGCAACTGCTCAAAGACCTTCTTGTCCTCAGCAATGACAGTGGTGTTGACGCACACACCCGTTCTCTTGATGCTCTCCAGCATGTTCAGGGTAACATCCAGGAAGGCGAGGTTTGTAGTGGTAAGCAACACCACCCCAGGTCTCCTATTGATGTCGGCCAGGGTGCAGTTGGAAATCTTCCCCCTGGACTCGAGGACGTCCTTGCAAACAGCCGCAGCATCAAAAGCGGTCCTGATGGTAGCTTCAATGCATTTGCACTCACGAGGCGCAGTGGTAGCAGGAGGGGATTGTCTGACCGGAGGGGATTGTCTGACCGGGGCAAAAACAACATCAGACTTCTGCGAATAATCTGGAATGAAGAAATAACAACTTAATACTACAATGAAATAATAGATTTAGTGTGTGCCTCCGATAATTTTCCGTTAGTTTATCTGCATTTTTGTGTCGTATTTCTTATTGCCTTTTTTTTTTTTTTGCTTTAAAATCCAACAACACACATGAATAAAACTGGGATTCAAAGTAAGTTTCATTTTAATTAGAGAAACTGAAGAAAACTAATTGCAGTGCCATAGACAAAACTTAGACCCTATGGCATGTTTCCAACACTTTTTGACGAATACGTGTGCTCTATGGTTTTAATTTTCTTTAACCTTTTTTTCTCAAATAAATGATGGCAAAACTGCATCACGGTTGACATGGCTTACATCTTCAATTTTCATCAAACAGTTGGGGTCTCAAAACTTGGGGATTAAACCTAGTCCAATACCATGTATAGCTTGTCCGGAATATTCCATTCCTTGGTACATCATTATTGAAATGTAGCAATCTACTACCGCACGGCACTAACATGCCTAACTTATATGGGACTTACTTTACAATAGCGAAACCAGCGGGAAACATTGCCTACTTGAGCAATGTTCTCCGAAACTATTGAATTTCAAGACTCCCCTCAGGATGGGAGATTTGGAGATGTTAAGGCTGTAGTGGTCAGGAAGTAAAAAGGGAACATGCAAAGTGACCATTACATTAAAAGAGATGTTGTACATTAACATTTGGGTCAGTCTGGAGGGGGAATTGACAAATACTTATTAAACAAATTCATAGTGACATTCATCCATAATGGTTCTTAAATTCCCTATCTTAATGTGACTTTCACGCATGCAAACTATAATGCAAAGGGAATTTAAGTTAAAACGAATGTACCGATACTTTGACTTACTTATAACGAAGGCAATGAAAGCTGCCGATTGCAGAAAGAACAACACTTTATACACATGTTCCTGGGCCATCTTGCGCAGAACCTGAACTGCAAATAAACAGAAGATAATGCAAGAGAAGAGAACATGATACACACTTACAACAATTCGAAAGGTTGTGATGATATAAAAGGTTTACCACATGCATTGTCCGTTAATGTGGAAACAGCTTCTTTCGAATTTTCCGGGGTAGGGTAAAACAAGCTGACCGGCCAGATGTTGCATACTCGAGAATGAGGGGGAGGGGGTCGATACTAGGGGGTCTTAGTATACTATACAGTATCGTTTTAAACATAGTTTTCAAAACAACCGTCTCCACTGGTGCTCTTATTTTGGAGGATGTACTGTTTCAAGGTCTTGGGCTGGACTTTGTGTTATTTATGCTCAGCGTGCACAAATGTAGGCCTAGCGTATGCTTGAAATGCTCCGCACTGCTCCAGGATGTCACCACTGGCTCTGCCTCAACATACTGACAGTGATTGCTGGAGAATCTTGCAGGATTGAGACAGTGCCACTCCTCCAAGGACCACATTCAAGAAATAACGGAGGATTTTGCAGGATTGAGGCTGTGCAATTTTCACATGGAGGTGGTTGAAGGATTTTGCTAGATTAAGTTGGCATCCTACTACCGAAATACCTCGGAAGTTAGGGTTGAAGACGTTGTTTGTAGCTGTGCTTGACCTTAGATCCGCCAGTAACCTTGGC